TTCGAATGGTCTGAAAAATGGCAGATGAAATTCAATGTGGACAAATGTAAAGTACTCAGTATAGCAGATGTAAACAGGGAAACCAGATACCAGATGAACAACGATGTTATTGAGAAATCCAACTGCGAGAAGCATTTAGGAGTATTGATAAGTAGGAATCTTAAGCCAAGTAAACAATGTGCATTTGCTCGAAACAAGGTTAATAAAGTACTTGGGTTCATACAAAGGGGTGTCAGTTACAAGACTAGCGAGGTCATCCTGAAACTATATCTTGCGCTTGTGAGACCTCACTTGGATTACGCAGTTTAGGTCTGGTCACTGTATTACAGAATGGATATTGAATCCTTGGAAAGAATTCAGAGGAGAATGAAAAGATTAATCCAGGTCATGAGGAACCTTAAGTACAGAGACAGGTTAAAGCATCTTAATTTGCACTCCCTCGAGAGACGTAGAGTGAGGGGCGATATGATAGAGGTGTATAAGTGGAAGTCAGGGCTAAACAAAGGGGACATTACAAAGGTACTCAAACTATCCAACCAGGAGCGAACTCGTAACAATGGTTTTAAATTAGACAAATTTAGATTTAGGCGCGAGATATGTAAATATTGGTTTGTAAGTAGGGGTTGGGTGTAAATGGGACTGTCCAGTATGTGCCAATAGGCCCACTGCAGTTTCCTCCATTCTTATGTTTTTATGTTCTAACTGACAGCATTGCTGGGGTTATACAGGGTGGTAGGAGTGGATTTATCCCATCTTCTACCAAAACTTTCACTTTACAATCATGGTTTGATCGCTCCTGTTCTCTTGCATGTAGGGAGAGAAGTAGGGCGTATCAAGTTATGAAACTATCTCCTTCTCTTATTACCAACACCTCTTTCATTACTTCTAGAATCATTGTAAGGTTATTCTTCGTAGAGACAAGCGGAATTTTATAAGAAGAAATACCGCTGACCTGACTATCTATTCTTCAGTTCAAATAAATCCTTCGGGTCCTTAACCAAAAACACCTGTAATAACTTCTGCACTCCATCTTTTCCTCCTCTCTTCCGACCTGATAACTCTACAGCCAACTCTCGCCCTGATAAAGTCAATCTCTTTGGCACATTATTCTCCTCTAACTCCACTTTAAACGACTCCAACTCTACCCCTCCTACTCAAGCTCCTCCTACTGAACCAATGCACTCTCCTATAATCTCCACTCGGAGGGTTTTTGGTGTGTTATCCAGTTTGGATGTGAGTAAGGCTCACGGACCGAACGGAATACCTCCTCGTGTTCTGAGGGAGTGTGCTGAAATTCTGGCTCCTGTGCTTGCTCGCCTCTTTCGCGTTTGCCTAAAAGCCCAAACTTGCCCTGTTTTCTTGGAAGCATGCCTCGGTTCAGTCCATCCCGAAGAAGGGTGACCATTTTAATCCCTCTAACTATCGCCCCATTGCCCTAACTTCATCTCTCTCTCTAAGACTTTCGAAACTATCTTAAAATCTCATTTCCTCTGTCGCCTTGAACGCCTTTCTCTTCTGTAGGTTGTCGGATCACCATTTTATTTTTATCCTCTTCACCACTGATCGGCTCGTTAACAGCTTGGGCGATCGGTCAGGCAAGTACTGGGCATGCACTGGCTCCTGAATGTATCTTTGGTCATCTTCTCTTCGGGATTATGGGGAAACTTTCGTCGTGGCTCTTGACATCTCCAAAGCATTTGACAGGGTATGACACAAGTCTTTACTTTCTAAACTTCCCTCTTAAGGTTTCTCTTCCCCACTTTGTTCTCTAATTTCTAGCTTCCTTGAGAACCAATCCAAGGCAGTTGTTGTCGAGGGATTGATCTCTCGCTCTTTCTCTACCAATAGTGGTGTTCCATAAGGATTTGTTCTTTCACCTACTCTCTTTCTTCTTTTTATCAATGATTTACTTCAATTCTAGCTATTCTTTCGCTGCTGATTCTACTCTTCACTCTTCTTCACATTTTTCCCTTTCCTTAATTTTCAAACTGGATTTGTTTCTAGAGCTCATATCGTTTCATCTACAGTTTCAATGCGGATCTGTGCAGCATCTCCAAGTGGGGAGGTAGAAACTTGGTTAAATTCAATACTGTACTGTAGTAATAAAACATAGTATTTACCAATTACACTTTACACAATAGACGATTTCCCATTTCAGGATACAAACATTCTGCCAAATTCTAAAGAAAATATACTAGGCCTCATCATTTCCCCCATTATGTCATGGAAGCCACACATCCACAACATTGCTAAAGCTGCCTCACGAAACCTGGGAATGCTGTACGGATGCAGTAGCTACTTCATTCTTGAGTAGTTGCTATGCCACAATGTTGCATATGCATCACTCTCTCTATTTTACAGGTACTTTTAACGGGCAAAGTTCTGTGGATTCGGCATCCTGTGTACCGCCGGCAGGGTAGTGGGCACGTAACACTCGTCTTGCCCGCGGTGCCCACCGTTTATGTGTAGACATCGGTCACACTAGAATAACCCGTTATAGTACATCCTTCTTTTCTCACACAGCCAAACTGTGGAATGCTCTGCCTTCTTCTGTGTTTCCATTCCCATACATTATGTTTCACTTTAAAAGGCTGGTTTCCGGCATATTCGTGGAGTAGAATAATTTGGTCTTTTTCTCTTCTATTTTTAATTTATATTTACTATTATGCCCCCCACCCTGGCCCCGTTGTGGGTCGATGACCTGTGCCCGGGTGAGCTATTCCCCGTAAAAAATAAGTGACAACATGAGGTGGTAAGCTTAACTGATAACATGTGGTGGTAAAGTTAACTGACAAAGGGTAATGGTAAAATTAACTGACAGCATGAAATGGTAAGCTTATCTGACAACATGTAGTGGTAAAGTTAACTGACAACATATGGTAGTAAATGTAACTGACAATAAGTGGTAGTAAACTTAACTGTGGTGGTAAGTTACCTGAAAGAAGTACCACCAATATTTTGAGGCAAATTCTTGTACCATTTTCTAGTCATATGAAAATTTGGATTACATGAAGAATAGTCCCAGCCAATTTCGCCTACAGATTAAATACCCTAATGCTACCTGGGAATTAGGTAAGGTTTGTTTAGGTTAGGTTTGGTGAAGTTAGATTTTGTTTGGTTGGCGTTAGAGTGGTTATTCTTAAAAAATCTCCACTAACTCCTTCAGTACGGGGATTTTACTTTACTTTTATCCTCTTCGCCACTGATCGGCTCGTTAGACGCTTGGTTGGTCCACGAGGTATACTAGAGGGCCATCAGACTGGTGCCTGCTCTACACCCAGGCTCTTTTCACATTCAGTCTCAATTAATGCAGTTTCATAAAGATCTTTCTGTAGCTCTTGACAGTCTGTTTAGATCTTAATTTCCCTAAATAATTTGGCATCGTCCGCAAACATTTGTATGGCGGAGTGTATAGCTTCTGGCTTATCATTTATGAAGCAAACAAACAACAACGGGCCCAATACACCGCCCTGTGGTACCCCACTTGTCACTGGCACACACGGCGATTTCGTGCCACTGATCACCATACACTGTTTGCGGTGATGCAGAAAGTATCCGATCCATGTTAGGACACTTCCTGAATCCTGTATCCTTCCAGTTTAATTCTCAGCCTTTCATGGGGTACGCTGTCAAAAGCCTTGTCAAAATCTAAGTATATAATGTTGATATTTCCGACTTGTTCTAGAATTTGAGTCCAGACATCCAGTAACTTGAGTAATTGTGTTTAGCAGGATCGTCCTGGCATAAAACCGTGTTGGTAGTCCTTTACAAGGTTGTTTCATAGTAGATGTTTCATCATGGCATCTTTTACGATGTTCTCTAATACTTTCAAGGGTGGATCCAGGGGGAGTTCTGGGAGCCAGGACCCCCTTTTCACCAGAAAATTCCAATACTTTTTCTTTATTGCAGAATTGTACTCAGGCATTTATTCCACAATAAATAATATTTACTTTTGACTTCAGAATACCTCCTAATATCAAGTGCGTATGGTTTCAAAATGGCCTAATCTAACCTAACCAAAGCACCCCAGATGGGTGACTTCGCTGCGCTAGTCATGTTCCCCCACCCACAAGTTTTCCCCCCCCCGCCCCCCGTTGGATATTCCTGGATCTGCCCCTAACTTTGCACACTATTCTGGTCAGGCTCGCTGGTCTATATTTATTCGTGGAGTGAAGATCGCCTTTCTTGAATATAGTTCTCACATAAGCCATTTTCCAGTCATCGGGGACACCATTTTTTTTTTAGTTAATGCCAGACTATTTTATTCAGTACAGGGGAGCTTACCATAGGGTGATTTTTAAATTCTAACGAATTATAAGAATGACACATACCATCACTATTTTTGCTTCAATACATTTCTGACGACAGTTTGAGAATGTTGAACTTTCTTTCTGCTCCAGCTGTACATGATACTTGTTATACAAAGACGCGTCAAAATGCATTTAACGGTGACGACCAGCTGTTCCTTGTGTGGAAATTGGTTAGCTATACGTATTGACCAGTCCTGAGCATCCGGGTAAAAGATTTCTGAAAAAAATAGATGCATCCATTGTGATTATTCGCCCTTCAGCACTGTATTCACAAGTCCATTCCCAGACTGAATAAAAATAAAATATGTTACGTTAAAAAGGCAGGCCTGATGAGTTTGTACAGTACCTTAGACATGATTACATATGCCTTCCCATACCTTTGAGCGTTGGTTAACTCAATGTCCACTCAGCGAGCATTACCTATGACGTCAGTCATCAGGGCCTTGCCGCCCCTGCGTCTATCACTCACAGTTGAGGTAGGAGAGATATACTCTATTTCCTTTACTCTATAGAAGTTTGGTAAGTTGTTTAATTTATATTAAACTGTGGATCACCGACACATGCCCGGTAGATTAACTAACGTCATAAATACAATTGTGTGAACGTTTGCAAAGGCTAACTAGGTTATGCTTTTGACAGGCAGCTGGGACTTTATACGGGGAATCCCCTGGGGAACGGCCAGCAGTGAGCCTCCTGCCAGGGTACAAGGCCGCTGACAACCACACTGGCAGTGACCGGATATACGTGGTCTTGGCCGCTCAATCTCCTCAGCCCGCACAACAGTGTCGGCTCTTGTCGAGTGCACACGACTCATATGAACTAACTGTTCAGCAAACATATGACACTGTTACCGGAGGTGCTACAAATATATATTTTATTCGTACTATTTGTAAATGACCTTGAAAATATATGCTAAGGAGTTCTCTTGTGCAAGTGTATGCGTTTTAGTGAGAAAATGTAAATATGATTTATTGCCTCCAATGAGAAATATTCGTGCACATTCTTGATAAAATGAGCTACAGCTGTGAAACATATGCGATATGAATGTGGTATAGAGCAGTATAAATTTTCCTACAATACAGTGCGCTAGAACGCACTGTCCCACGTGACCAAAATGGACCAATGAGCGCCCTTGTTGTGGTCTTGTTCTGGGAATAGACTTTAGTCATCTGTACCAAAATACGGAGTGGAGTTACTGAATTTCCTTTAAGATTTCTTGTGGTCTAGGACTTGACTGTTCAACATGAATTCGTAGTCAAGTGCAACGGGAGTGTGTCTACGTTTCAAGAAGGTGAGTAATAATGAATGACGGGGTGGAAGGGAAGGAGAGAAAACAGGAGATGAAGGCGTGTTGTCTCCTCGCTTTCAGGTGTAGTCCAACCTTCTGACGGCGCCACAGGCCACATTTAGCTGTGACACTCTTTAGGCTACACATACCTACTGCTTAACCGTACCATTCTATCATGAGAAATAAATGTTTTTTAGCTATTATTTCTAAAGCTAGTAATATACACTTACTCTTAATAACGAGTGGTCAGACGATCGTAAATATGTAAAACTACTAGTGTTTACATTTTGTATAAGCAAGTAGACGAGAAAATAATAGATCATGAACTGCCTCTGAATGCCACATTATAATTCCTGGTAAATATTCGTCCTTTGGCTGCCCTCAGATTTATACAAGAATAGTTTTTTGGTGTTTTATGGTGTTTTACTCGAATCTGACCTTCATTTTTTTGCAAATTATCAGTTTTTGCCAAAAATTTAAATTTTCATTTGTAACACTGCTCATTTGCACAAAAATTGCAGTCAGGTTTGAGTAAAACACCATAAAACACCCCAAAAAACCTAACCTAACCTAACCTACAATATATGCAACCTAGCCCATTCCTTTGGAGCTTACCTGTTACTGTGGTGGAGGATAAAGCTGGGCGATCTGGAGAAGGAAGTGGTGGAGGATGGTAATTTCTGCCTTTTCTTCAAACTAAACAAGTTCCACACTTAGGACACAGTCTTGATGTCGGTAGGACACCCTGATTGTGTAATATTTTTATTGCATCACAGTTGTTCTCGTAAACTTGCTGAATTAAGGTTAGATATGGGAGAGAACACTTATCGTCGCCATCACGAAAGCCTTCAAAATTTGAAAGTGTGCGGTGGAAGGCTGGTTAAAAATAATTGGCCAGCCAAGTCACATGACACGATACTTGAAGGTCATTGGTTGTCATGTCATGAAGAGGAGACAAGTGACTCTGTTAACATGGTGCATACAGAAATATACCTGTAGAAATTTGTGATATACTCCGTTAATATTGATTTGCATAAGAAGTGATATGAAGTCATATGTTTCGTTTTTACTAGTCTTTGTGTCTGTAATATTGAATATTAACCTAATTCCCTTACCTTTCTTAAAGTAGGATGTAAGTTTTCCATTAGATAAGCTCATTTTTAGGCACTCCTTTTGTTAGAGATTCATTTTATTCCGAAAAGGAAATTCTATTACAACACTAAAATAGTTTTTCTTGTGTTTTCATTGTGATTCGGAAGAATCTGGGTAATGAATGAGAACACCTCTACCACTAGAAGGAGTTGTTCGATTTTGTTCATTTTTTCCGCAGCTGTTCTTATAATTATAGTAAGTATTTTAATAGCAGCAACATATACTAGAACCTAATGGAAACTAACCTAACCAACCAAAGAAACCTACCTAACCTTACTTACCTTCCTAGCCAGGGGGTTCCACCTCCTGGATGCCCGCCATATTAAATAGAGAGTACAGGGTACTAATTTTGACAATATTGCAGTAAACAGCAACCACAGAATTCCGGAAATTCACTACACTCATTCTATGGAACTATTTTTTCTCTGATAATTTTCTTATATTACACTTGCGTCGCAAATTGAGAATAAGGAAGTTATTGAGTTTTAAAACGAATAAAATCAGAGCATCTGTTGCCCCTACTCTGTTACTCAACTTGTGTGTGTTCGTACGTTCTCTTTTGGAGTAAGGTGAGAAATACTGTAATGGTTATGTTCTTGTGGAGGCTGACCACGCGACTCTGGGTTACTACATAGCGTCTGGGGGTCCAGGGGGTTGGGTAAGGTTTAGTTTGGTTATATTGTATAAGTTAGTAAGCACAGAGTACCGGGAATTCAGAACATGCAATTGATAGAACTATTGTTTCTACTATTTTTTTGTAAATAACAGAATTTCTGTTGCGTAATGTGTTCTTCTGGTGTTTTCTTGTTGCGATTCGGACAATTTTGGACTTCGCTTCTTCCACAAATCACTCTTTTTGGCTGTCCCCCACCCAGAACCCCGAATTCCCACGTTTTCCTCCATTATTGTTAAAGGGGGGGGGGGGCTAAATCCAAAACGAGTGATTTCCGATAAAATCGAATGTCAGATTTGAACCAATCGCTTAAGAAAAACACAAGAAATTTTTTTTTATCAGATTCTTTGGTTGCTGTAATCTGCAATTTTACCCTTATTTTGATATCTGGTACCAATGAAGGCAACTTTGTTGGAGTGTCATGGTATAATTTTACGCTTTTTATGGAGGTGAGAGTATGGTCTGACTGAGTGGGTGAGTTGTAAACAAACAGACGTCACGCAGTGACTCGGTAGATTTTTCGGAGAAGTCTTTTCGGTAAATAATTAATTTCTTCACGTTGAGACAATTTTTTTACCATATGATCAGTTTTTACCATGTTTTACCCTGCAGTGTCCCTCATCCTTCATGCCCTGCCCACTACTGGTGATTTATGATTGTAGAAAGAAAAAAATACTTATAATAAAGGCAGTGGATATTTTGCCATGACTGGCTACTAATTCTATTTTACCCTGAGTACGCTGGTATACTAGGACCTTCTACCAACTAACAGAACAAAGCAAGGGAGAAAGACACGTAACAAAGGAATCAGGTCACATGACCTGTGTCCTGAGTTGAGGTAGGGAGAGGATTAGGGATAATCTTCTTAATGACAGTAATCAGGATCAGGTCTGGGGTCCACTGATATTTTTTCTCGTTTTCCCATCGTTTAATTTTCATTTCACTTAGTGATCAGTGTTTCGGGAACATATCCTAATCATTAAAAGAGGGATACCTGTACTGTAAATTAAAGGTTAGGTGGGCTGGACTTTGTTTGATTTGTTTCTGCCATTGGCCCTGCTAAAAGTGAGAATTCCACAATTTCCTCACTATAAGGTTTGTTACTTATCACAAAGATCTTCATTAGTAATATAATATGACTCAGGTTATGAGAATGTACAATCAAAGACAAAAGTCGTGTCGTGGTTTTGTCTGAAGATTAAATATAAATCACGAAACATTATGAGATCCCCCATTATAAATTTCACAAACATATTTTTCACTCAAACTGTGATGGAGAGTGATAGAGTATGTCACAGTCATGCCCGGTAACTCCTCTTTGGGCATTTGAAATCCTTATTATTCTAACATCGCATAATGTAAGCTGGACTTACAGATACACTAAATTAGGAAGCACAATTATGCTTGACAAAGTGTATAAAATGTTGAAATATAGTTCCAGAAACATAGTACAGCAACAAAAAGTAGATTTACGTACCTCTCAAAGTGTGATCCTGAATCGCTCCTCAGACTCCGGTCTGTTTTCTATTGGACTTTTAGCCAATAGAAGCAGCAGTAACTTACAAAAAAAAACTTTTGGCCTCTAGGGCAACTGCAGTCGTGTTGCATCTTATGTGGGGGTTATGTTCCGAAGAGGGCTCCCAAAGTCAAAAATATTTTCAGGTGTACCCCGATAACCGATGCATTTAGGGACCAGGAAAAGTCGTTGGTTAGTGAATCAACAGTTATCAAAGCAATTAATTCCATAAGAACATAAAAAATCCAGGGGGCTAAGGACCAGTCACCCTCCGAAAATTCCCATCTACCCTTGATATATCTTTGTACTGCACACTGTCAAGCAAAAAAATAAAGCAAACATAATAAGCCTTAAATGTAAAGCATAAATTGAGACTGTTATTTACCTGTGTTGAGGAAAGTAGAGACTGTCTAGGGTAGCAAGTTAAAGTCTACCACCCATCACCACCACTCTTAATACTGGGTATGTCTTATTATGCCTTACCTCATCTTATCAGGTTGCCCAGCACAAGAGGAACAAACACGAGGGTGTTTAGGCATAAAATAAACACAAAGTCAGAGACACATAGTAAGTGTAAATGAGCAAGGATGGTGGGAATGAGTCAGAGGCAGTGTGCAGAGCCCTCTAGTGGCAAGAATTTGCACCACGCCAGCTCTGCCAATCGACGGATCTCCGGGGTATCACTGAAATTCATGGGGTATTTCCCGTATGTGTAATTGTCGGTTATCGGGGTTCACCTGTATTATAGTCAAAATTACCGTTGAAAAACCCTGAAATCGCCCATAAAGTGCATGTTTATTATATACATTGAACACCCAAAGATTCGGACTAAAAGGGGGGGAAGGGGACCACACGTCTGAAAAAGCCGGTTGTCCATATTTTCCGGTATATGTACTAAATGTATTAAAACGATAAATAATGATATGAAAGCCAAAAAATACAGTACAGGGCGTCCTCACTTAACGTCGGGGTTACGTTCCTAAAAATGAGACGTTAAGCGAAACAGCGTTAAGTGGATAAATTTTCCTCATACGAAATAGATAATATACGGGAGTTATGTTCCTGAGCCTCCCTTTGCCCCATGAAATACATTACATATACTGTACTATACAGAAAATCATTGCCATTTCTATAGAGAATAGTATATGTACAGTACAGTATAGCTCCTCCCCGACTTACGACGAGGTTAGGGACCCAAATCCAGGTCGTAAGTCGAAAATGCTTACATAATACATAGAAAATCTAAAATGGGTGTCTCTGATTCTTCTCAGCACCGCAAAACTCTCACATTTAAGCTTGCCAGCCATTTTAAAGTGAATTACAAACGAAAATTTTGTTAGTACACAGCACAATCACTGACGTTGGGACTCGAAAATACGTAATTTGACAAAACTTTGGTGCGACTGAGACGGTCGTATGTCCGGGTGGTCGTAAGTCGGGGAGGAGCTGTATATAGAACTACAGTACTAAGTTTTTATTGGTACTCACCGATGGGCGGAGGTGGTAGAGCGAGTGTGTGGTGGGTAGTGGAGCGAAGGAGGAGGATGGAGGGAGGGGAGGAGGAAGGTGGGAGCGGAGGAGGGTAGGAGGAAGGTGGGAGCGGAGGAGGGTGGTGAGTCACTGAGACTCTGCGGCTGCCTCCTCCTGCTCTGTCTGGGGCTC